GCCGCACTGAGCCGCGGCCAGTACATACACAGGCGGCTGCACATCATCCGGACGACACACAGACAACACACCGGCTAGACACGGTTGACTTGACGACGGGCGTCGTCATCTCTGCTTGGCCGAGCGAATGAGGCTGGCAACCGGACGAACAGTCGAGTCTAGCCTCATACATGCTGTCGCCTCAACTGCTTCAGCCAGTTCGACAACGACTCGAGCCTCAGCTGGTAGGCTTTCTGCTCAAAAGCATTCTCGCCTCCCTACCTCACTCTGGTCGTCGCCATTCCGACCTCGACCTCGACCTCCGGATGTCCAGTTATCCCTCGCGCCAACCATACACGAACATTCATCAACTCGTCTCTCCCGCAGTCAGTCTCTTCGGCCTCTCCGGTTGGACAATAGAATCCCCATCCTGAGACTGAGTATAGAATCAAGTCACGGAATCCACCATTGCTGGCTACATTCTCACAAGTTTACACTCTCCTACTCGACTATTTACTCAACCGTCTATGCACATCCTTCTCTGCGCCTGCATACACACCGGACTGTCTATCTTTCTATTTCCTCCCGCATACTGCCACAAAATAGGACCTACAGCTGGCTTCTCAAATAGCCTATCCTGCTGCCTCACTAGCTTTTGCTCTTGCATCAATCTCTCTCTCTTTCTGCCTCACTCCTCTGTCCACCCACCCACAAACATACATACACACACACACACACATGAGCAGACAAACTCTTAAGCAAATGCTTCCGAGGTTGCCTACAAAGGTCTATTTATAGTTGTTCAGCTATTTTCACGCATGTATCCTGCTGCTGTGGTCCTGTGTCTGAAAATACGTTCGTCTAGGCGAAAGACGGTGAAATGAGTTGCAGTAGGCCGTGAAGTCGTCTCTTGACCAATCACATGGACGAAAGACATTTATGGCCGACAAGTGAACAGTCACATTCTCATCGTCAGACTACAGTCATAAGCACACAGACCCACACACCCAACTGACCGAGGACCTCTGCGACATTGCCACCCTGACGAGACTCCGATCTGTATTCAGAGAAAGAGTGATGGGTATATTTACAAATTGCCCGATCCTCTTTTGGTCTCGGTTGGACTTTTCAACACTGCCCATGCTCTCCATTTCACCCTAAAGCGAAGATAGTATGATATAACCAACCAATCAGAGAGAACCCAC